TTACATATGCCGACATTTCGACCTGAAGTTCAGGCCTTCATCAGGGCTAAGAAAATAACCAGATAACAAGGTATGAGAAATATAAGTAATGATGGTAAAAAAGATAATAAAAAAAATAAAATAAAAAAAAAGGATTAGAAAAATAAAATAGATAGATATAAAGTAAAATGAAATTGTTAGAATAATGACTATGAACTAAGAGATAAATAATAAAAACTGTTACATAGTGTGGAATGATGAAGTAGGCATAATCAAAAAGGGGTGACAAAAGTTTTACTTTGGGAATCTTAGAATAAAATGTAAAACATAAAAAAGAAATATAAAGTTATATAAGAAATGAAAATATATAGTTAAATTAAAACATTGAGAATGGAGTAGTTAGATAGAAAATTGAGATATTGTAAAGTCTATCAAGATGTACAGACAATGTATAATATAATAAAGAGTTGAAAACAGAGAAAAGGAATGAAAGGAAGGAGGGAAGAAATTGAGAAAGCTGAAATAAGAAAGAAATAAAAGAAGTACTACCTTTCTCCTTAAGTGTCGAAGGGAGAATAAAAGTCGTTACAAGGGAGGGGGAGAGAGAAGAGATGTGTAGGTCACACGACAGTCAACCAATTACCAATTAAGAAAATTAAAACTAAGCCGAAAATACGTGCATTCCTATATACACTATTTACAATCAGGCAAGGCAAATTCCAGGAGAACCCTGCGCTACTCTCTCAACCGCCTCACTGGTACTAAAGCCAGCGGAGATTGATTGAAATTAACGTTTTTTCCATTTGTTTCTCTTCTAATATTTATTTGAACCTGTCAACGCATTGACACGCAGCGAATTCGCTGAAAATCCAAAAAAAAAAAATATTAGACATAATAAGATATGTCAGGCATGGGGAAGGAGTACGCAGTACTCCCTGGCTTGATTCAATTATTTCGGATAATTAAGAAAGGAGATCTCTCATCCTTCACCATTTTAGTCCCCTCCTCACTTTAAGAAGGATGTCATCTGTGGCCAAGCCACTTATTAATTTGTTGTTATGGCTGTTTAAATTTGTATAGATTCGTTATATGTTAGGCAAGTGTTGGAAAGTGGAGTTCATTAAGGAGTTTGTTAAAGTAAAAAAATATAATTGGCACTTCATTATACGTCTTATATACAAAATAAAATAATACAAATAAACGTCTAGTAGGAGAGCTATCAGGAACCAGCTGGCATGACGGTTCGAATAGGCTGCAAACCTCATTCGGGAGAATCTTATTATTTATTCAGTTAGGAGACGAGAGGGGTAATGAAGTGAGCCTGCGGGTTGGGCCTGCGAATGGCGTTAGATAAATCTAGCCGAGGCTTATCGGCCTCCTCGCTACACGGCGGGTGCCACTTAAGATCCCGCAATGCCTTCGGATTCTGTTCTCTCAGAATATATAATTCCCCGACGGAATTACATAGATGTCGGAGGATAGTTAATCAAGTTAATTCATTCATTATATGTTGACTTACATTTGAGGAAGGATTCATGATGAAATGGAATTCATGGACATTAATAGAGTTAAGTTTATTAATAAATCCGTGTTTCGAGTATGTTTTTATAGAACGACTAGTCCGCTTTAGTGGGTTCGTCAGCTGCAATAATATAAACCTTCGAGAATTTGAATTCATAGTTTATGTATTATTTTTTGGTGATCGATATCTAGTATATACCTTCGTAAACCAATGACTTCCTGTTCTACAATTTCCTTTAACAATACTCCACTTATCCCCGTTGAACAAATCCTCATACTAGACTGAAACGACAACAAACAACAAACAGCTCGACGTTTCCGATTACATCAGCACTTACTAAACAAACGCTCTAAACTTCCAATTAATTAGAAAAGACTCATATACATGACTATAATAAGGTCTGTTTGGACTTACGGAGTTGAGCTATGGGGCTCCACTAAACCATCAAATTCATCTAGTATCCAATTCTCACAATCCAAAATCCTTCGTAAAATTCTCAATGCTCCCTACTTTGTTAAAAATAAAACCATCCATAATGACCTTAATGTACCATATGTTTCCGATTTCGTCCAATCCAGATACCTATCCTTCCATAATAAACTTCTGAACCATCCGAACCATCTTGTTTCCAACCTTGCTTCCTCTTCAATTCCTGATGACCCTCCGAGGAGTCTGAAAAGAAACTGGCCCCGTGATCTCCTAATGTAGACATATCATTAGAGTGCTACCAATCGGTAGTTACTCAGCAAGTGTTTTCATGTCATTATATCCATTTGTTCAAATTTACTAGATGTATTTATTTAATGCAGTTCTCAGATCATTAAAAAATAATAAAAAAAGAATATACCTACATGCAAATTAACGACTGTATATTATAATGATATAATATTATAATGTTATTGTAATAATACAAACCTTTAAGGCCACGTGTAGTAACCTAATAAGCCCTACCGCCATTCCATTTTGTCAGCAATCTTCGTTTTATAGTTCTTTCTTCCTCCACCTACTTTTTTTCCGGTCAACGTCTCTTACTCCTTTCCGATCATACATAGTTAAGTATCCTTTTAGGCCATCTATCTTCCGCCATTCTCGTAACATTCAAACCAACTCAGTTTTTTATCTCAATGGAGTACTGGATTCTAAGTGATTTTTTCACTTATTCCCTAATTTATTTATAACGTGTTGTAATCTAGATATTTTACAACATATCAAAAAATCCATTTCCATTGATAACAGTTTTCGTGTTGAGTAAGTTAAAGCATTCTAGGTTTCTGAGGCATATAATGCAGTACTTAAAACATATGAACGGTAAAATCTCATTTTTTGTTTGGACCATGACCTCCTTATTCCACAAAACAAAGTCTGTGTCTTTTGTGCTGTTACTTTTCTTCGTAAGCTTCCTGTCTAAATATTTAAATTGCTCAGTTAGAATTAAATTCCATTCTCCAACATTTAATGAGAAGTTTTCAATATTATCTAGTATTTCATATATGTAAATTTATGGGATTTAGAGAAAAAAATATACCACTAATATCTATTTAAGGTCTTGAGTTCAATTCTTTGTAAGGAAGAGCTGTTTCTTGGTAAACTATTTTGGAAGAAGGCGAGAGGTCAGTTTTTTCCTCATAAATAAATATTTAATTACGATATAGCCCTTTACAGAGGCTGGATGTGATGATCTCCCGACCCCATGGTTGATTAACGTCTGATTTAACAGAATAAATAATAACCTGCCACGGCCGGATTTGAACCAGGTGATTGTCTTGCCCAATCAACTAGTCCGCGATGTATGTAATACTTTTAAATAAATTGTATTTTAAGTTGTGTTCCCTCCATTTTTTTTGTTTCTTATTAATAAATTCCGCACCAAACCCTTTCTCCCCCCCAAGCAAAATGTAATTTCTGCGTCTCTGGTGCCACATTACTCGTGAGAGCATTTTGCAATTACAAAGTTCTGATTTATACATTGCATGTAAACTAAACAGGATTCTAGTCTTAATTTTAACCATTATTCTCATTGAGAACTTCGATACCAGCTTTTCCACTTAACAGAAAACAGGGAAAGCTGATTTCTGCAAAACAAGAAGGCTTCTAACTCAACTCTGTAACAGGTGTTGAAAGTCATCACTGATTGGATAACGGTCGTTAAACTTTACTTTCTTAATAATATTATATGTAATAAATATTTAATAGTTTTACACTATGATTTTCTTTCATAAGTATTTGAACTGTTATTAATTTTGTTTAATTAACTTTATCTTTTTAAAATATACTTTTATCGGTTTAATATTTTTTTTCTTATTTGAAATTAAATTTTGAATATATGTTTACATATGAGATTAAAAATAAATTACTCTCAGTATAATGTTTTTATTCACGTTATTGAACCAATGTAAAGAGAAATTTGCAGTCCGAAGAAAACCAGCTGACCAAAATAGTCAGTTTTATTTACAAAGTAACCTACAAATATTTTGTTCACGAAAATTCTCGAAATTGGGGCGTATTCAATCTGCAGTTCGGCAAACTTTGTCTATTTAAATAGATACTAAAATTTCATGAATATCCATTTGCTTTCCACTTGAATCGTAAGATAATATGATCACAAAGTTAAAAAAAAAAAACTAATGTGCATTTTTGGAGGTTATCAATTCTAAAGATTGGAAGGGAAATTCTATTCTGTAGAAATGGAAAAGTTGCCAAAACGTTGGCAGAAATGTATTGATACTAGTGCAGATAGTTTTGGTTAAATGAAACAGTTGTAAATCTTTTTTTTTTTTAAACCAAAATCCTGCATTATTTTACGAACAACCCGATGGATTCATTTTTGCAACATATTGTTTGTGAATTATCCCTGTAGTGCTACTATTGTGATTATTTCCTAGAAAAATGTAATGAAAAACATTTTATTGTTATTTAGAACAAAACATTATATATGGATTGTAGGACCATTATAAAGTTTCAATATTCCGAAACTTCGAATCAATAATGTTATTTGTGAATAAAGAAATTATTATATCGGTTGTAATTTTTCACATCTATATGTGTTGAAGCTATAGTTTTGAATAGTTTTATAATACTATATAATATAAAATTAAATTATTTAATTCAAGTATATTTCATCATCATCCGATGTTGTCGTAGAAGCACTTGCTAAGTCTTGGCCACTCCAATAATTCTCCACTCAGGCCTTTTCCTCTTTTAATACCCAAAGAACTGAAAATCGTCCTCCAGTAAAGTCCAAGCCTACCTCTAATTCTTCTCTTGCTTCCTCCTAATCCAGTCCCTCTATTATTATTGTACTCTGGTATTTTTCTACGTCTTTGCGGTAGAAACAATATTTGATGTTCCATATACGTCCCTCAGCTGTTCATTAGGTTTCACCAATCGCACTTAGCTAACTTTTTAACACATTATTCTTAACTATACGACGAGGGTGTTATATATGGCAAAATAAAAAAGTTTAGGTACATATTACCCGTGAAAAATGATTCCTAGTTTGTCAGCTAATATTGGTGAATAACTGGACTTTAAACCACCCTCGGTAAATAGCTGGAAAAGTTTGCTGGTTTAGAAGAAAATTTGAAATGAATATTCTGGCTTAAATAAAGCAAGTAGTAATCACCGAACCACCAGGAAGTTGTAAACCCCGACCGGCTTCGGAAGGCTGTGGAGGATTTCTTCTTAAACTTCTTAAACTTCAGCTGCTTCGGAAAGCTATAAGAGTTGGAAACGTAATTTAAGAAGAGTATTGATTTTAATTTCGTCCAAGTGGTCGTCACTTTTCGTTTTTTATGCTAGAGGTATTATTATCGAATCTCTTTTCAAAAATACGTATCTATTAATATACCTCAGTGAAAAATCTCATATTAAAATCAATCTTTCAACGTAAAACTAATATCAGTGTAACTTGGTTATTCGTATATTCAATTTCATATTAGAAGGATAGTTAATATAACTCTTCATAATATAATTAGACTGTTGAGGTGATAATTTATTTAATAAGTGATTAGCTTGTGGTATTGAAAAATATCCCACCAGTTTTATAATTAACCAATAAAATATAACTATCTCCGAACTTATATTAATCTAGTATTGTACTATCTTAAAAAGTATTTATTTAATGTAGAAAAGCCTTAGTTTGTAGATCTCTCATTTACTAAGAATGCAATCTTAGTTTTCGACTTCTATAGAAAAGAATGAGCAGTATTTCTTACAAAATAGTTCAAAATACATTGTGTATTATTGCAAAATGAAAGGAGGCTCCTTATAGTTGATCGTACAATTAGATATGGAACGAACAATGAGCAGTAAGATCTCAAAATAAATACAAATTGAGAAGGAGGAAATATACAAAAAATGCATTTCATGCCAACCTCTTCACGGAAACCCTCATCCCTGACCTCATTTAGACATAATCTATTTTTCCATCATAATTTATCAATCTTCCAAATATATGTCAAATAAAGTTATTTTGTACTTTAGAAATGTCAGTTACACTGTACCGATATCTTGCAGTATGTGTATCTTGCATTATGCAGTATGCGTGAACCTCACCTGTGTGTAATCATCTTTAAATTCATATTTCTACTTCAAGATCATATGTTTACTACAGTGTCTTTATTTTTAATATTAAGAATTTTATTATTATAAAAAAATTACGCGCTCCTTTATTTTAATATTAAGATTGGACACCTTTGTAAATTAATTCATTTTTAATTGTCATTTAATTATTCACAATCGCCAGACAATTGTCAGTTTTCTGTTCATTGTATTTATTCTGAGGGGACTAAATGGTCCTGAATAAAATTTACTTTCTTTCTTTCTTTCTTTAAAAGAAAAATATAGAGAGGAATTCGGGGAGAAAATGTTCGGTAAGAGGGCTTTCTTTTGAAAGTAGGGGTGCAGTTTCTCTTTCAACTGCTGTTATTTTGAAAAAGTTAGGTTTTGAAAGGAATGAGATATACATTATTGCGGAGTCCATTATTTTGAACTCACTGGGAATCCTGCACTACCACTTCTGTTAATTCTGGTCTCAGATTTTTGGATCGAGCTGACAGAATTGAGAAGAATGAGGATGAGAAATGAAATAAGACAACAAATGACATTTTTATATACAAAGCATATCAAGCTGAATTGTTTTACTAAGTATTGCCAATCAGATGGATTAGTATGCTGTGTCAGTTAGCAACTTAACACAGTTGAGCAACGTAACGATTTTATTGTAATTCTCTCTTTCATTTTCATGCGTAAAATAAATAATAGATTGTATATAATTGTATTTTCTTTTTAAAATATAAAATAAGTATTTGTATTTTATTTCCAAGGTACTAATATACAAAAAACGTATGGTAACTAACTAAAACGAGAAAAAATTCATTATTAAACAAATGAAACTGGTTATTGGTGCAGAAACATGGGAAGTTCGGAATTGTTTTTGGTATTAATGTTAATGAATGTATTCTGCCATTAGGGCCAAAATAAGGTTATTACTGGACTACCTGATTTATTGGAAGGCTAATGGTGGAATTACCTGGTGGCTTATTTAATTTATTTTATCGCTCACCGAAACTTTGTAATTATATTCTTACCTGGTTTTCGCATCAAGGTAGTCAATTAAGAAACATAATTTTAAATTAAAATTCTTATTTTTGATTGAATATAACTGATTATAATATATTAACTGATAACATATAGATGGATTTTTATTGGCAATTTATATAATTATCTAGGATAATAATCAGGACTTTTAATCAAAATGTGTTTATTCTGGTTGTCGAAGTTTCGACCCAGGTATACTTTGTTGGCTACCAGAAATCATTTAAACTGTAAATCATAACCATATCCTAGCCGTATTTTAAATCAGTATATTTATGATAATGGTTTGGTTAATATATAATTATTGGTGAATAAATAATTTTTCTACTCTTCCCACGTCTCCTTATGGCCAATTGTACTAAAATAAAAAAAAGGTATTTTTATAGCTAGTTTTTTTTAATTTAAGTATATTTTTAAATTAAATTTACAGCTGCTAAATTTGAAAGCAATTAATGATATAAAGAAATATTTTTGTGAACACGTTTATTTATTTATGAACGATTCACAGTGTGTTCAATAGTACAAATATCAGGGACTTAAACTTGTATAGATCTTTTTAAAGCATTTCTATTTGAACAGTTTAGATGAAACTTTTTTTGTAAAAATAATACATGCATTATAAAAATAATTATTTGCGATACAAAACCAATCAGAAGTAAAATTTTCGTTCATATCAAAAATGATTAAATATTAAAGTTAATTTTTCATTTCAAGCATTGGTACATATTTTATGTACATGTATTATTGAGTATTTATATCATGAAATTTTAACTTTTATTTTAATCTGTTTCGATACAGATAAATAGAATCTTTATTATAAATGTATTTTTGGTTATCTTCGATTTTAAACTTATAAATGTTTTGCAGTACTTTTTAGTCTATTTTAAAAACCATTGTGGGTAAATGGTTGACTGACGTGACTAATGAAGAGAAGAATAGTTGGGGTGATCAGTCAAATAAGAAGGAAAAAATAAATGATAATATTTATTTTGACATTTGCCGACGTTTCGACCTGAAGTTCAGGCCTTCATCCGGGCTCAAAAAAGGTTGATGGAGAATGGAACTTCAGGTCGAAACGTCGGCAAATGTCAAAATAAAAATTATCATTTATTTTTACCTTCTTATTATGCTGATCACCCCAACTATTCTTCTCTTCATTATTTTTAAAAAACTTTTAAATAAGTTCCGTTAAATGAAAAATAAACATAATTTGACTTATATTAAATTTATAATTTGTCTTAAATGAATTACACTTCATTCTTATGTGTCATTTGTTGGAGTTGCTAATAATAAAAATCACCTTTTTGCGAAATATAGAGGACTTTTAAATAAACTTTTTTTCTTAAATAAAAATTCTGTGAAAAGTTGACTCTTTCATTTCTTGTTCCGAAAGAACTTAAAAATTATCGGCAATAAAACTTCCAGTGGTATAATAATAATTTTTTTTCAGTTTTAAGCCCTGATAATAATACAAGTAATGAATTAGATTTGTTCATTACAAAATAAGTATAAAGAAGACTTAGAAACAATATATATATTTCATTGGTATCATCTTGGTTATCCTCGAGCAGAAGGTAAAAGATAACCCCCTGTTCAGGTGGAGGACAGCTCCGCGGGTATGGTCTGACGAGGGCCGACCGCTATGGAGCTTCTGCTCCTCAACTCCTTGCTCATGTTTGACCTGGTCTTCATGTTCTTCCTCTTCCTGGTCGGAGTGTCCTGCGTCCTCTACTACGTGCCCCCGCGGGCCCCAACTCCCCCACAACTGCCGCCTCCTCCGCCGCCAGCCAGGCACCACACATTCCACTACGTCCTCTGCTGTCCGAGGCCCGGAGCACAACCACAGCTCGTCTGAACGTGAGTATAGAATATAATACAGCGCAATCAATTAGGTGCATGGTAGCTAACCTCTTCTATGTTTTGGATTATAGTTTAGAAATATGAATTATATCATCGGTTTATTTTATAATTTTAACCCTTCATACGAAGAGCTATCTTTGAAACAGCAAGTTGAGGATGGTTTCATTTCACTCCTCGTAAAAAAAATTGATTAAAAAGTTGGTCATTTCACCATTTTTTTTTATTTATGAAACAAGCTTATTGGTTTATTTCTGATGGTGAGAAATTTTTGTTGTTGTTTTGGGTTTAGGGGCAAAAAACTGCTGACGGTTATCATTGCCCTCAAATTGCACTGGTTGATTTATTTTTCAATCATAAAACTACTAATATAAAATTATATATGTTTAACAAAAAAAAAAAAAAAAAAATATATATATATATATATATATATATATATATATATATATATCAATTACTACCGAGAAGAAAAAGAAAAGAGAGAAAAAAGTATAGAGTAAATAGAAATTAAGTCAATATATCGCAAATTTGTGAGAAGAAATAATTGAATTCAGATTACTTGAATTAGCCCTATGTTCTTAATGAATTAAATGGTACTATCGATACGTTCTTCGTTATCTGTTAGTGCCTCACAGAGCTGACGAAGTACACGTCTTTCCATCTCTCTCCTGTAGCGAGGACACTCCTCAAAGATATGGCTCACTGTGAGAGCCACGATGGTGAGAAGTGGTATGTAATAATATTGAACATACTAAATTAATATAGTATTTTTGTATGTGCAAAGATGGTGCAACTTTATTATATTTGATTTTTATTTTTCTGTATTTTAGGAATTTTTTTAAAACATTTATTACAAAAAGGAAAATATTCTATTATATTTCAAAATAAAGAATTCCAAATAAATGCAAGTATAAACAGAAACCCTTAAAACTTGAAAAAACAAAACAAAATTTAATTTATTTGAGCCCAACTCAGTTTTTTTTATCACTTATGAGTAGTTAACTACATCTATGAGTTAGAATGAAGTGAGGACTTCAATTATGTTGTGCAATATCATGTATTCTAGAGATATCTTAAGGGACAAAGGGAAAGTTGTTCATACAAGAATTTTACGAAAGGTAAAGGAAACACTGGAATAAATTTCATAATTTTACAAAATTATGTCAATTTTTTTTTGGCGTTATATTCTAGCCTTGAAAATATACTTTTATTTTCATGCCCCTTTTTTATAAATAATTTTTTTTTTTTGACATTTCATCACGGAGTATAGAATGCTCATCGATAAGTGTTCCTTCAGTTCTCCCCTCCCCCTGGTGCATACATTTTTTTATTTTTAATAGTCTGTTCTACATCAATACTCACTTTATATTTAGAACTCTATTTCCAAATAGAATTTATTTTGTATAAGAAATAATTATTTCCCTCTAGATTTGATTTCTGGCTCATTGTACAACAGTGTTATCGTGCATTGTCGATGACCATTTTGGGCAGGGTTTTACTTTTATTTTATATGTGTTAAAAAATAAATGGCCTTGATGAATTACGCTCTATTTACTCATAAAACAACTTTATATATTATTATTTTTTGTTTTCCCCTCCCCCTCGCACTTTAGGCTATACGGGGGTTTTCCCGGACCAGAGGATGAGGGCGAGAGATTAATGCCATAGTTAAAAGCCCTCCCGGGCACTCGTAATTATTTTATTGACTCTATATTGGTTATCGGATTGCCGGGTAACGCGCGGTACTGTGCATATTCGTTAACCATCTCTGCCACCCCGCCCATGAAAAGTTATTTGTCAGCAGGATTCAAACACGTGACCTTCAGCTTAGCAGCCAAGCACCTAACTCACTGAGCTACTCTACCTTATTTATTTTTATTTTATTATTTATTATGAATTGGACATAAAAACTCTTAAACCAGAGGATTGAATTGAAAGTGGTTTTACTGCTCC